TATAACGAGGAACTTGATGAATAAATAGATTAGATTTTTTTTTATTAAAAAACTTTATTTATACGAGTATTATTTATTGTTGGCAAGAACAATATTTGGTGGCTGTTTAAAAACATTGAAATTTAGTAAATTGTAATTTTTGGCTCTTCCAACTGAAAAGGTTGCTGACCCCTTTTTTATAGACCATAAATGTATCATACGAAATTTTGTAAAAATATAAAAAAATATGAATATTTCAAGGCTTGCGTAGATGTACGTGAAGCAGTTGTGTTTTGGGGTATTATGAGAACACTTTCAGAAATGAATTTAGCAATGGATATTGTACCTTGGTTATCAACACATCCTGCTCACGGTGACAGAGAACAAAGTTTGAATAACAAATTACCAAAGGCTATAGAATTAAGATCTTTATCTGGCGTATGTTTATAACAAAATATTATTTTATATCAATAAGAGATAAATTGAATTATTATTATTTCTTTTTTTTTTTGTGAATGTTAAAATTTATTGCATTGTGTTGTTTCAGTGTCCAGAATTAAGTCCAATTGATCCAAGAAGTAAATTTTACAAACGTTCTATGAAAGATCACGAATATTATTTTAAACAAAAAGGAATAATACCAACGTAACATGAAGAAACATCGAATGTTTATTACACAACTTCGCGAATAATGTATTATTTTTATAATAAAATTCCTTTTTTTTTTTTTTTACAGAGAATCATCAATCACAATATTTTTCATTAAGAAAAAATTAATATTATCTCGATAATTTCAATTAATCATTGCAATACAAAACTTTATAATTATAAATTTTGGTATTAAACGTATTATTATATAATTAATATGTATACAGGTATATTATATCAAATAAAAATACAGTATTATATATTATATATATATATATAATATAAATGTATAGTATATTTATATTTACAATATTAACAGTGATATGAATCATTTATACATAGAGACAATGATATTTATATGTATATATATATATATACATATACATATATGTGCATATATATATATATACATAAATAAGAACATTTATATAATGATTTGAATGATCGTCAATTTATTTTAGATTTTTTAATGGAATTAACATATTATGTATGAGTTGATTTAAAAAGAATTGTGTTTAAAAATATATCAACAAAAAGTATAATTATTCAGGCTATTCAATTTACAGAATTAATATTTAGAAAAAATATCATTACATACATCAGAGAGAGAGAGAAAGAGAGAGAGAGAGTCTTATATTTATCTATGCGTATTACAATTTAATTTCTAAAAAAATAAAAATTACAAATATAATTGTTCATATTGATATTATTATTATTATTATTACAATTAGTAATAATTTTGTGTGTGTGTGTGTGTGTGTGTGTGCTAAATGTGAGTATAAATTAAATGAATTATTATTTTTTGTTTTTTATTTTGCATACCATATAATAGAAACATAATTAATATTATTTTTTAAACTAGATATAAAGAAAAAGATAAATCAGAAAAATCTATTTTTAATAAACATAATTAGCTATTATGCTAAATGCTTTTTTTTTTTTTTTTTTTTTTTAAGTATCAATTAACGTTCTTTTTCTTATCATGGAAGTTTTTTTTTTCTTTTTTTTGTAGCTTTGAATGCAATCATGGTTCTCTTTGCGTGCATGATGTTTATATATTGATAAATATATTTTGTATATTTTTTTTTTTTTTTTAAACATATATATATCATGTGGTAGTATGAAAACCACTATTTGGTGAAATGGAGGAGGATCTTTGTCGTCGTCCAGGTGCCTCTAAGGATATGCGCTGATATTATTTACTACAAAATTGTTCAGCATAAATATGCATTCATTTTGTGTGTGCAATATTTGACATATCCTTATGTATCATGTTTTTTTTTTTTTTTTTTAATGGTATATTCGTAATCATTTACAGGTATTATGGGCAATGAATTCTTCACTGTATCCATATATCCTTTAAGATTACTCGACCAGTGATTATTTCTATCACACGGTCTTTATAATTGTTTTAAATATGCACCTGGTAATCATTAATTACATCTGCATTGCATGAACGAAATATTTAATTAATATTTAAAAAAAAAAAAGAAAAGAAAAAAAAATTTAAAAAAAAAGTAAAAAAAAAGATTAAAAAAAAAAAAAATATATAAAATATTAATAATATTTTTTTTTGTTTTTTTTTTTTGGAGAACTTCACGCATTTTCAAATTAAAAATTGTGCACCATATGTGAACCATTAACATTTATGGATAATGATTAATACAAATAATAAGATTATTAAAATAATAATGTGATAATTATGATCACAGATATAATGCATACATATATATGTATGTATGTATGTATATATATAAAAATATTGAAATTTCAAATATTAATTAATTTATACTCGCATTTAAAATGTTGTTTAAATTTGCTTATTTGAAGTATGTAAAAATGTGTAGAGTACAACCAACACACTCATCTAATAATATTAATTTTTCTTTGTTTGTTTCTTTATTTATTTATTCATTTATATGAATTAATTATTCATCTTATTATTGTATGTAAAAATCTATCGAGACTTTGAAAATCAGAATAATTTTCTTTCTATTGTATTGTATTGTAGTCTCTTCAAATTTATCATTATAAAATGAAAATATAATATTTAAAATGATAATTAATCGAAATAATTATTTTACATTGTAATTATAGACATTTCATCTGTATATATGTGTGTGTACTTTAATTCACAAGTTTGTTTGTTTGTTTGTTTTTTAATTATTTTGATTTTGTACCTTCATAGGCGTAAAATTAATTTACTTGTATAACTTATTTAAAATTAATTTAAGGATTATCATCCCCCCCCTTTTAAAAGCCACTTTATCAAACTGATATATTAGAAATGTTGGTTTGGTAGATGATAGTGAGTACCCCATCGTGGGCCCCCCCCTTACAATGGGCCCATGCTTTTCTTTTTTTGTTTGACTTATTTGATAAAGTGACTTTTGTAATACCCATGTATATATATATATATAATTAAATCATTATTTATATCTTACAAGTTATTACATACTGCATTTGTGTAATGTGTTTTAACATTTAACTTTCAGAGTTACCATTCACACATTTCTTATGAAATATTTCAAACATACAATGTTATTATTATTGATGTATGTTGAAGAAAAATGGCAATATATTTCAATGAAATTGTCTTTCTTTCATTCTTTCTTTCTTTCTTCCTTTTTTTCTTTTCTTTCTTTAGACTTAACTTATGAATTAAGAAACTAAATTGGTAACTAAAACATAATCATTAGTATTACTTTAACAAATTTCATAATATTTTTTGTACAAATTAACTTTGAAAGTTAAATAAACAAGAGACAGGACGAATATTATATATGTAAATGACCACATGCAGTGTGTAACATTATTAATAGATTTATATACAAGAAGAATAAGGAGGAGAGAAGTTATGTTCTTTCCTCTTTTATTTTGATGAAGCTAAAAAAAAAAAAAAAAAGAAGAAAAAAAAATAAAGAGAAAGCTTCAGTTTATGATAGATAAACTATTGAACCCAAAATTGATTATTCATCATAATGATTCGAATAGTTTTATGCTGAATAATATTTTTTTTTTTTTTTTGATGAGAATGTGTGATCAAATATTATAAATCACGAATGAGAAATAGCAAATGGAGATGTTGTTGTGTTAAGTCATGTGATTTATAAAGTCAAATCTTTGTGAAAAATATCATATGGTTACGTTTAAGAGAGAA